CGGGAAGATCCCACATGCCGCGGAGCGGCTGGGCCCGTGAGCCATGGCCACTGAGCCTGCGCGTCCGGAGCCTGTGCTCCGCAAATGGGAGAGGCCACAACAGTGAGAGGCCTGCATAACGCAAGAAAAAAAAAATAAATAAATAAATAAAATAAAATAAAATAAGAGAAGATGCGTAGCCCATGCCAGTGACCTCCAGAAGCGCTCACCTGGGGCCGCGTGGGCATCTCCATCCTACGGGACGGTCCTGACTGAGAGCAGATGTGGTGTGTTCCAGGGAGAAGAGGACGTTCCTGGCACGTCCTCTGCTGAGTGATTTATTTCCTAATAAAAGTGTTTAGTCTGAATCAAAGAACGTGAGCATTGGTCTCATTGCTGGAAAGAAGGGGTTGCCGCTCCGTCTCTCCTGGCGAGCTGGCCGCCAGGGCCAGGCCTGAGCACGGCTGAGCCTCCGTGAGAGCGGAAGCTGAAACATCAGGTCAGGAGCTGACCCAGTGGGACGGGGTCCGAGCCAGCTGCGAGTTACCTCACCTGCCCCGCGCAGGAGAAAATGGCAGAAGATCACAGAAGCAGAAATGGCCACAACGTGCCAGGGAGGGCGTCCAGGGAGGGCATGCAGGGCAGGTGTGGCCCCACCATTTGTGTGGGAGTTGGGCTCGGCCAGTGCAGGGAGGGTGGGGTCCCTTGTGTCCACCTTGAGGCTGGCTTTGCCAGTCATTGCCTGGCACCTCCGCTGTGCAGGGCCTCTGCTTTCTCAGCGGGTGGGCAGGTGTGGCTGACCTCTCGCCTTGCCTTGGGGTTCCGGGAGGCTCGGAAGGTGCTCGGCAGCGACAGACAGCGGGACCGGGCGTGAGCGTGAGCAGGCGGGAAGGATGTGGCTGTGGCATCCCCATGATTAGGGCGGGGCCAGTGGGCAGGGGCCACAGAGCAGGGCGCTGTGGCTTTGGGTGGTTGTCGCAGGGGCCACAGAGATGCCGCTGGCGGGACGGCATGGGGGTTGCTGTTTATAGAAATCTCCGCAGCTGCCCAGCCTGTCTCAGGGCTGGCCCCAGAGCAAAACACCAGCCTGTTTGTTCCCCTTCGAGTTACAACTGGAACCACCTCGAATGGTCTCGGGATCCATGCTGGTTCTCAGTCCTGAATTTTCTAATCCTGGAGCCACTTCGCTTCCGTGTTCTCTCCTCCAACACGGTCTTCACAAGAGAACTGGGGACTGAGCTGCCCCAGTCCCCACCAGCCCTCAGCCCCCAGGCAGCACCGACTCCCGGGCATCTCTTGGGCTTGTGCTGTGGGGCTTCGGGCGCAGGTGTTTCTCATGCAGTCCAGGGAAGTGGTCCCAGGCACCAGCCCCCTAATCGGCGGCATCTCTGCCCCGGCCGCCGGGTACTGGCTCATTTGCCTTCTGAAGTCACAGCGTCTCAGAGCCTCCCACACCTTCTAGAGGTTTTCACAGGGAGGAAGAGTTTGGGGACACTTCTGCTTATCTCTGAGACTGGGGGCCGAGGACCCAAGACCCCAGCAATGTGAGTCCTGAATGATGCAGCATATTCCAGAAACCAAGCGAGTCACACCAAACTCAGGGCCCTGGCAGTGCTCAGCCTGGAAGGCAGGGGCCGGGGTGTGTCGGGGGGAGGCAGGTGGGGGCAGGTGGGAGCAGCAAGAGTTTATCCCCCAGCGTGTGTACAATCTGAGAAGTGCTGACAAAGTACGAAGCAGTAAGACAGATGAAATGACACAGCAGATTGAGGCCAAGCAGGGGAGAACACCAGTGACCAGATGTCAATCGAACTTCAGGCCTGAGGCTCCCGGTGGCCCCAGGGAAGAAGGAGACATCCTAAGTCCACATCCAACCCATCTCGGGGTCTCCTTGGATGCACTGACACATTAATACCAGTTTCTTATCTTGATCTTGAGCTTAAGGCCCCCATTCCGCCCCAGGAATGGGCCCTGCAGGCTCCTGGCTACTAACTCAGCCTCTAGTGGTCCCTCTGTACCCCTGTTCACCCTCGGGGGCCTGAAGCTCCCCTGCTGGCCAGCACACCATGCCCTGCAGAGTGGCAGGGGAGGCTCTGGACCAGCACTGATGGCTGTGCTCTGTCCCCTGCAGATCTGAGGCCCCACCTTTGTTGCAGCAAAAAATAAAAATAAAAAAATAGAAATGAGTAAACAGCCTTAGGCACATACCAGCCAAACAGGACTGAAAGAGTTAAGTAAGCAATCTCAGTCATTCTTTAGCTGTTACTACTAACACTTGTAGCTAGGCTTGTCCTTACAAAGCTAATTACTTTCTGATTCCATATACTCTGCACCTGGCAGCCTTCTCCCCCTACATTTCCTTGTAGGATTCTGCATCTCAAAAGGAAGGTCACAGCGACAACTTCAGGGACACCAGGCTGGGTTGCTGAGCTGCCTGACGCCGGCTTTTGGCTGAAATTTTGCAGAAGAAAAAAAAATAAATAAATACAAGACCTTTATTGCTTGGAGACTTATCACCTACCCATAGACTATGAGCCTTGGAATATAAAACTCTCTCCATTCCCAGGAAAAGGGGGGCACAGTTCTCAAGGCGCTAGCCTGCTGTGTTCCCCCTTTGCCAGGCAAAGAATAAGAAAAGCTATCTTTCCCGTCCAAAACTCTGTCTCCATATCTCTTTTCAGCATCGGTGCCCAGAGAGCCAGGATTCTTGGCATCACCTCTATGTTCCTTCCATCTCAGCACCTTTGAGGCCAAGCAGATCCCAATGGAGCTGGGGGTGCAGGTGAGCCCCCATTCCCGAGAAGGCCAGT